GTCTCAACGCTCTACCTCTCTCTAATCTCCCCTCCAACAAGGACAAAGAGGCTTCAGGCTCTGAGCTTTGGTGTGACAGCTGCAGCCAGTCAGAATTCAAAGACATCATTTTTTTTTAATCCTCCCCCCCCAAAAATTTCCTATTTATAGTAGTGACAGTTTCCTTTAAAAAAATAAATCTGTTTAGGTTGAGAAAAGGTGAGTCTGTTTAACAAAAGTATTAAGAAACTAGTTTGGGCTTCGGCAACATTTTTGAAGACGGATTCATTCACGATCACAGTGTTGAAAGCACTGAACGAATCGGTTAACTATCTGGCATGTTCCTTCTGGTGTTGAAAAGAAAAGCTTCAGGGATGGTCAGAGGAGCCTCCAGGTAGAAGTAACTTCACCTCCTGCCTAATGCTGGGGTCTGAGGCCACTGCCCCTTCTGACACCTTCAATATCACATTGAACAGACTTGTTTGTTTCTGGGTAGCGCCTGGCATGGCGGCCTCTACTGGTGGTTATGAGCATGGAGCTTGACATCAGGCAAACCAGGATTTGAATCCCTGCTCCGTATGCGCCCAGGGCTGCCCTTGTGGGCAGATTATTTAACTTCTCTACAGCTTAGTTTCTGTTCTAAAAAATAAGGATGATAGTAGTCCCTACCTCATAGGGCTGTTGGGAAGCTTTAATGATATAATAAGCATAAAGCACACAATAGCTGATAAATGGTTGCTGTTATGATTTATGATTCTGACTATTAGCCACTGTTGTCAGTGATTTTGATTTTAAAATTTTTTATTATTATTATTGTTTTTGCAAATCATGGAGCCATTGAGAAGAGCTCGCTCAGCACAGACTCTTCCTGGAAGTTGTCGGTTGGGTCACAGTCACGTCACACACACATTCCCCGTCTCCTCCTTTTCCTGGGATCTTTGCCAAGTCCTAAGCCAGGAAACCTTGTTATATTAATTATGAAGAAAAAGCATGTTTTATTTAAAATCCCGGCTGCCACATATTCTGCCATGCTGTTTCTCTATGACAGCAGAATTGCTTTTGCATTTAGGGAACCCTAATGAATTTAAAACATAACTATATCTGTGCCTAGATACAC